CAGAGAATGTGTGTGGATTATCGAGCGTTGAATGAGGTCACTATCAAGAATAAGTATCCTCTACCTAGGATTGATGACCTGTTTGATCAACTGGAAGGTGCTACAGTTTTCTCCAAGATAGATCTTCGTTCCGGATATCACCAACTCCGAATCCGTGAGGAGGATATACCAAAGACTGCCTTTACAACACGGTATGGTTTGTTCGAGTGTACCGTTATGTCGTTTGGACTCACTAACGCCCCGGCCTTTTTCATGAACTTGATGAACAAAGTGTATATGGAATATCTCGATAAGTTTGTCGTGGTGTTTATTGATGATATCCTTATCTACTCCAAGACAAAAGAAGAGCATGAAGAGCATCTTCGTCTTGCTTTAGAGAAACTACGTGAGCATCAGCTCTATGCCAAGTTTAGTAAATGTAAATTTTGGTTGCCCGAAGTGAAGTTCCTTGGTCATGTCATCTCAGCTGGAGGAGTTGTCGTGGATCCAAGCAATGTGGAGTCACTGCTAAATTGGAAGCAACCCAAGACGGTTAAAGAGATTCGTAGTTTCCTTGGTCTTGCGGGGTACACCGCAGGTTTATTGAGAACTTCTCAAAGATTGCTAGACCAATGACTTGACTGCTTCAGAAGGATGTGAAGCATAAGTGGACGGATGAGTGTGAGCAGAGTTTTCAAGAATTGAATAAAAGGCTAGTGACTGCGCCAGTGTTAGTCTTGCATGATCCATGGAAAGGTTTCCAGGTGTATTGTGATGCATCTAGACTTGGTTTGGGTTGTGTTTTGATGCAAGATGGGAAGGTGGTTGCCTATGCATCTAGGAAGTTACGCCCTCATGAGAATAACTATCCAACACATGATCTAGAGTTGGCAGCTATGGTTCATGCATTGAAGATTTGGCGTCATTACGTTTTTGGTAACCGTACGAAGATGTATACGGATCATAAACGTTTGAAGTACATTTTCACTCAACCTGATCTGAACATGCGTCAACGAAGATGGTTAGAGTTGATTAAGGATTATGATATGGAAATTCATTATCATCCAGGTAAAGCAAATGCTATAGCGGATGCTCTCAGTAGGAAAAGCTACTGTAATATGTCAGAAGGACGACATCTACCTTGGGAGTTATGCCAAGAATTGTAAAAGTTGAGCTTGGGAATAGTCAAGAATGGTTTTGTGGCCGCTTGAGAAGTTCAACCTACTCTTTTTGATCAAGTTAGAGAGGCAAGTGAATGATCCTGATATCCAAGAAATTAAATAGAACATGAGAAGAGAAAAAGCCATCGGTTATATAGAGGATGAGCAAGGAACTGTGTGGCTAGGAGAAAGAATTTGCGTGCCCGACAATAAGGAGTTGAAGGATACTATCATGAAAGAGGCTCATGAAACCCTGTATTCCATTCATCCTGGAAGCACTAAGATGTATCAAGACCTGAAGGAACAATTCTGGTCCGCATGTGACGAGAGATAGCGGAATATGTGGCTCTATGTGATGTGTGTCAGCGAGTTAAGGCGGAGCATCAGAAGCTAGCCGGTCTGCTGCAACCGTTGAAGATACCAGAGTGGAAATGGGAGGAAATAGGGATGGATTTCATCACCGGTCTACCCAGAACGTCGACAGGACATGATTCTATTTTGGTAGTGGTTGACAGGCTTACTAAAGTTGTTCATTTCATACCTGTCAAAACAACCTACTTAGGAAATAAGCTCGCAGAGTTACATATGGCAAGAGTTGTATGTTCACATGGTGTTCCCAAGAAAATAATGTCAGACAGAGGTAGTCAGTTTACTTCAAAGTTTTGGCAGAAGCTACAAGAAGAGATGGGTACTCGTTTTAATTTCAGTGCTGCCTATCACCCTCAAACTGATGGCCAGACAGAAAGAGTGAATCAAATTTTAGAAGACATGTTGAGAGCTTGTGTTTAGATTTCGGTGGAAGTTGGGATAAGAATCTGCCGTACGCTGAATTCTCTTATAACAACAGTTATCAAGCTAGTCTTCAAATGGCTCCGTATGAAGCGTTATATGGTCGGAAGTGTCGTACACCGCTTCTTCGGGATCAAACCGGTGAGCGTCAAGTTTTTGGGACAGACATGTTGCGAGAGGCGGAAGAAATAGTGAAGATTATCCAAGAAAGGTTGCGTGTTGCCCAGTCGCGTCAGAAGAGTTATGCAGACAATCGTCGCAGGGATTTGACTTTCGAAGAAGGGGATTATGTATACCTACGGGTTACGCCGCTGCGGGGAGTTCATCGTTTTCAGACCAAAGGGAAATTGTCACCGCAATTTGTGGGACCTTATAAGATTGTGAGTCGGAGAGGTGAAGTAGCTTATCAACTAGAGTTGCCTTCGTCAATGGCGGGAATACATGACGTGTTCCATGTTTCGCAGTTGAAGAAATGTTTGCGTGTACCTACGGAGGAAGCAGATCCTGAGCGTATAGAGCTTCAAGAAGATTTAACTTATGTTGAGAAGCCAGTCCGAATTTCAGAGGTAAATGAGAGAAATACCAGGAATCGCGTCATACGGTTCTGTAAAGTTCAGTGGAGTAATCATTCAGAAGAAGAAGCCACTTGGGAGCGAGAAGATGAATTGAAGTCAGCTCATCCTCATCTTTTTGCCAGTTCTTCTGAATCTCGAAGATCTGCTTAACTTCAGTGCAGGTCCAAAATCTTGCCTTTAGGTTCGTGAGCGTACCGGTTGATTTGATCATGCAATCAACAAGAAATCGTTTGTGTAGTAGTCAGGGGTTTTTATATTCCGATTAATATTCGTCACCGTATTCGTTTCGCTTCGTATTCGCTCCGTATTTGTATTTGATAATATTCAATTTCGTTTTTATATCAGAGTTTCCGATTTCTATTTCGATTTCGAACAAAATATAAAAACGAATATGATAGAGCTAGTTTCTAACCGTATTCGATCCGTTTTCATCCCTAAATGCGTGTAGGCTGCCCTCTTTTTTCTCAGTTGGATGGGATGCTGCTATCGTCGTTATTGCTGTCAGTCTCTCCAGCCCAGGGTTTTCTGTTTCGAAAAAGCAAGAAAATTTCGGTGGGCACCGAAATTCTGAAATTTTGAAAAATTCGGATATTCCGCACGAACTTTTTTGAAATTTAAACACATTTTTACTGAATTTGATTAAATTATGACCAAATTCACAAATATTTGGAAAAAAAATCCGAAATTTCGCTTGAAAAAATCTGAAATTTCCATCCCTGCTCCAGCCCACCATGTCCTCATCCTCTATGCCTCATATCAGCCACACTGGAGTCCTCATCCTCTACGCCTCCTGCTCCAGTCACCGGCAAAAAGCGTCCTCAGCGATCTCTGGCTGCATGTGCCACGCTGCCTGCCACCACCAGCCGTGAGCTCCTATTTCTGCCTCCGTCGGCTTCACCTGCAGATGCACACTCGCTGCTGCCAATGATATTGGAATGTAGGATGCCTCCACCACTCGCCTTGGCTCTTTCTGCCACCGCCCTCGATCGACTCCGGCCATCGTCGCCACACTTAGTCAGTTATAACATTAATATTAGCAACTAAATTCTAACTTTCAACGACCAAAATTTCATGTCATTATTACCGGCACTTGACAAATAGCATCTGTGAAATTTGAATTTAAACCTGGATCCATTACTGAAATAACATGAATAACAGAAATCGAAAGAATATTTGATATAAGTATATATGTAGATGGATTGCCATGTTGGCTGGAAAATTAACAATCAAGGTCTAGATGGGAACAGGCTTGACAAAGAGAGACTCAACGATCTCCCTAAGAAGTGTGCCAAATGTGTATGCATCCTTCTTGTCATCGTAGAAGAGTGCCATGGAAACGGTAAAGTTCACAATTCGCTGCACCATGGGTAGCAGTGTACGATGCTCAAGTCGGGTCTGGTTCGTGGATCTCCATTCGTCTTCGACTAGTGCATTAATCTTCGCAAAGGCAGCCTCACTTGTGACCCCATTCTCATTCATGTAGCACTCTACGGAGCTCGCGACATCTCTCTTATTCTTTCCACGCTTCACGTGTATATTACATATAAAAATATAAAAAGAATAGAAGTTTAAATAGAAAATAACTATTGGAAGGCAATATTTATTTTACTTGTTTTGTTCGTAATCAGATCATGTTTTTAATTATTATATGTAGTCAAGGCTCAAAATATAACTCACTAATATATGCAAATATATTAAGATTTATTATGTGAAAATGCCATTATAACTTGTATGCTTATTGTAACAAATACCTTCATATTGTAATGTTTTCATAATTTTCATGAACATATATTGATTAGAAATGGCAATGTTAAAAATGTGTATTAATTAGAGGTTATTGATTTCATAACACACAACTAAAATAGAAATGCAAAAGTAGTGACATATATGTACCTTAAATGCAGCAATATCATTCATGAAACGCCCAATCTTAGCACATGCTATGACTGCAGCGTTGCCACTAGCTACCCACTCGAATGCTTCTGTCGTCATTGTCCCACCCCAGCCAACCATAGCAGCCACACACAATAATTGCACAGCTGAGGATTTGGTAGACAAAACCACCTGGTCTTTGAAGCCAGGCTTGTATTTCTGGTTCGACCATTCAGCTTCTTGCAGATAATAAGTGGACTGCTTTTGAAACTATAAGCAAAAAATTAAATCAAAATCAATAACTACAGGATAATGCCATCAGAACATATATGTGCAAAAAATAGTCTTATCTCCACACTCGAAAAGTATGTAATATCTATATTTTGGTGTGTGTGCGCGCGCGTGTGTGAGGAATATACAGAGAGAGAGAGCGTGTGTGTTTCTACCTCTTCTTTTGTGCAAGCAACCATGTATTTTTCATTGTCTGTCACTTGATCCTGAAACTCCTTAAAGTTGATCAGCAATTTACTATAATACTTTTTGAGGTACTCCGGCAGAATAGAAATAGCACTCTTGTCCCATCTGCACTAGTTTTGCACGAGAGTTAGTCGTGCTAGATACATTATTTCTCATTTTAATGATCCCTCAATTCTTTCTTTCTTGTCAATTAAGACATTTACATCAACTGATCCAGAGCATACATTTAATCATTATCTTTTCTAATGATATGTCCATACCTCAAAGTATTTGAAATATAACTGCATGAAAGTATTTTTCACGACAATCTAATACTCCTTCTGATCCCAAATATAAGTCGTTTTAATATTCCCAAATATTTGCCAAAATACAATTCGTTTCAGGAATTGTATGAACTTCTTTTATATTTTCTTACCTCGACAATTCTCTCACAAATAATTGACGATTTCTTTCCAATGCAGAATAAATGAAGGACAACAAAGTCATTTGAACTATTTATTAGTTCTTGTATCCAAGTCTAAAACAACTATATTTAGAATCAGAGGGAGTAATGTCACGCCATAGAAATTTGATATCTTCTTCGATATATTTATTAGTAGGCTAAGATGTTACAATTTGTCTTCACTTGTCAGGATGTTATCTATTTTGGAATGGATAAAGTACCAATAAACAATTAAACATACTGAACTAATCCTACCTTTGTATCGCTGTGTTAAGCTAGTGGCATTCCTCGATGGTGGCATGAGCATCATATGTATCATCCATCACAGTAACCAGTGCAATTAATTTGGCAACAAACATTCTCGTGAATGCAAAGCCTTCCTCATAGAACATCATGTAGGACCAAGTGTACCCCTCTATTGTACGATCCCTAATGTAACTTAGCCCCATGTATCCATAAAGATCTTTCCACCATCTGGAAAATAATCATTCCAAGAGTGTGCTTAGACCTTTAGTTATATGAACAGATAAGGAGCTAATCATTGTTTTACAGTGCTAGCTTGTGGGTATTGGGTATCCCATGGATAATTTTTCAAAATATATACAATGTCAGTGTAGTTTTGCACACAACAAGAGCATTCTTCTGCTCCAAGATAATAAGTGTATTTACTCCGAATAAAATTGAATGCTGAGGTGACATATATTCTTAAGAACCAGATAGTATATGATAACATGCATTCCTACGAACACCTCTTGCCATCAAGTACATATGTGAAAGGCATGGACTGTTAATTTATTTGCACTTAACAATTTTAGTTATTTAGTGCATTCCAATATTATCTCAAATGACCTGTTAATTATCCTTTTAGATAATGGATAAACCAGTTGTTGTATCTAAGATGCACAAAACCATCTATCATTTATCTATAGTCAACAATTATCAAAGAGATCGATCGACAGGCATACTCAGAAATTGCTTTGAGTTCTTTCAAGTGAATATGTTGCAGGAGGTTAAAATCCAGCCTTGCGAGATCAAGAAGAATTGGGATATTTCCTTCCTCTAGTTGGTACTCCAACATGTAGCAAATAGTCTCAACTCTCTTGAAAGTCCTTGGCAGTGGTAAGGTAAGTGCACGCCTGACTTGGCAAGCTAAAGGAGGGTTGAGAACATTGTCTTGACTCATCAATTTAAGGTGCTCCCGTGCGAAAGTGATTGCTTCTTCAAGCTCTGGCTCGCCATGAATGAGGAGGTGAGCCGCGTTGTATAAACTTAGTAGCCCCCTTGGGTCATTCGCTATCTCATTTCGAAACCTCCCATCATCTCCCTTAAATTTGTTGAATGCATCTGCATGACAAAAATATTTCTCATTGATAACTAGAAGGTTGGGTTATTTTTTATCCATAATGCGACTAGTTTTTCCCGCAATCTACAAAACGCTTTTTGCTGTACCCAACATCAAATTAGAACCCTCTGTTAATTTTCTTACGTTGTGTAAGCTGTTTGTTTTAGACTGACAAAAATAAATTATTGTGTCTTAAACAAATTAACAAAATGTAAGTTTTAGCAACTATCAGCAAATGCAAAGATAAAAATATCTAATCAGGGAATAATAAATTGTTGGTATATATAACTGTAGATACAAATAGAAAGAGCTGCAAACATCTCCTAAAAAAAGTTTTAGGTTGGCTACTAATAACTGTATATTTGATCTTATTGAACTACAGAAGAAGCAAAAACCAGCAAGACCTGTCCCACAAAGTTTGGATCGTCTATGGTGAATCAGAATCAATAACGATTTTTGTTCGGCACAAATTTATCTGTTCCATATTCGTAGATGGATGTATGCAGTTGGATACCTGGAGGCACCCAAAACCCATGCTCCCTAAGCAGGCGAAACCGAAGAGCAACCTCATAGAGACTAGAGCTTGTGAATTCACTCTCATGGATGCTCATTAGAGCATCTTCTATCTGCTCTTGGAAGAGGTGAACGATTCCAAGATGTTGAATGGAATCCACTAAGTTCATCCTCGCCGAAATGTCATTGCAGGTCCCAAACAATGTCCGGATGTCCCCTTTCAACTTCTCGGCCCTCTCCTGCATACATGTCTCTGATCTCTGCTTGAAATTAAGTATAGATTCATCAGAACAGTTAGTTAGCATCGCATTAATCAGAATGCAAGGGCAATGCATATATGGGAAATAACAGTGTGGTAATGCCTGTAATGGTTGTGGTTCATAGTTGATAAAGAAGTCGCCCCACACAGAGGGCTCAAAGCCGAGTACCTCCTCATGGACAGCACTGTCTCTCGACACCATAATATGTAATACTTACGAGCAAATATGAGAGATTAGCTTGATCTTTATGAATGCAAATGTGTGGCACCTCACCTTATATATAGACACACCAGAATACTGTAGTTATGTGCTCTGTCCGTTTTTGTTGTATGACGTGCTTTTGAACATGACATTCAACCGTTTATCTTACTCAAATAAATATTGCAAATATGCAAGAATATAAATCATGTTGTTTGTCAAAGAACAACACTGCTCTTAAGGATATTTGTAAGGAAACAACTATAGCGTATTATATTTTCAAAAACCTGCTTATTATGGAACCATGGGATAATCCTAGAGTTTCCTTTACAAGTTGTTCTACATTAATATCAATTGATTGGGAAGGTTAAATGGATACTCACTTTCTAGCCTTCATGGATCTAGTGGGCCGTAGCTGAGCTGCTTCTTTTTGATGGGCAAAGCTGAAAGCTACTTTCCTGTGGCCAACTCATCCGTAGCGATCTTGCCCGCCTATGGTGGTTTTCATCATCTTCGGTGGTGCTTCACCATCTTTGGTAACCTTTGGCATCCTCAATGTCCTTGGTAGCCTTCGCCACCTTTGGCTGCCATCATTACCTCTGGTGGGATTTGCCACTCTTGATGGTCTTCGTGATCTTTAGTGGTTTCGACCATCGTTAGCGGTCTTTCTTACCTTCGGCCTCTACATTCCCTTCAGTAGCTGCCAGCTGAAGTAGTTCGTGACCTCCCAAAACAATGCTAAAGGACACTGAATGATAAAAGAAGTAAAAGTAATAATAATATGGGTGGTCAGACATCATGTCCAAAGGTGAAAAATGTTATACATTTGTAAATTAGAGTTATCACTAATTACTTTAAAGGATCGTCAAAGCACGTGTAGGGGCGGCTTATGCGGGTGGGCAGCCAATTATTGCTTGCTTGTACCATTACCCATACATGAGAGTTGCAATCATGTCATATATCGAGTCAAATGCGACGTCTCTTGTACTCCCTCCATTTCAATCTAATTACGATTCGAGCAACCAAAAGACAAATTAGGAGTGTGATTGAAAATGACTTTAGATAGCTGTCATGACATTACATATGGGATTGTCAGGAATGGGAGCATGGGCGAATTTAATGTTGGGGCTTGTTGGGGCTAAAGCCCCAGCTCCAACAGGACAGGGAATAGCGTGTGCTAGAGCACAAGGCAGGAGAAGCAGGTTGCAGGGAGGAGCACTAAGACCCTGTTTAGATGAGACTAAAACTTTTAAGTCTCTATCACATCAAATGTTTGGATACTAATGATAAATATTAAACGTAGATTATTAATAAAACCCATCCAAAATCTTGGACTAATTCGCGAGACGACTTTGTTGAGCCTAATTAATCCATGATTAGCCTATGTGATGCTACAGTAAACATTCTCTAATTATGGATTAATTAGGCTTAAAAAATTATCTCGCAAATTAGCTTTTATTTATGTAATATTAGTTTTGTAAGTAGTCTATATTTAATACTCTAAATTAGTGTCTAAATAAAAAGACTAAAGTTAAGCCCTGAATCCAAACACCACCTAAGAAGAAGCTGGTCAACTAGTTTGCTAGTAGGAAGAAGCTGGCCAGGCTCCATAGCTTGGCTTTATCCATTTAGACCTGCTAGGCTTATAGGGTGTAGGTCATGATAAAAATATGAAATCATTTTTTTGGGCTTTAGGCATAAACAAACAACTAATTTATTCTTTATTGTCAACATCACAAACCATTTTTATCTTTTTTGGTGTTTTGATACTGATTTGAAAATTTGAGTATTACGTTGCTAGCGTAAAAATTATCTTATGTTATGTATTAAACTCAAGAGCCCCAGCTTAATTTTCATTCTAGATTCTCCACTGATTGGGAGAGTGATTGAGAATATGATGGAGAAAATTTTGAATAAGGAGAAGTTACATTGCAAGGGAAAAATATTACTGTAAGAATATGCTTATTTTAGAAGAAAGTTCTGATCTAAAAAAATGCACTTTATTAGAAATGGGTGTAGCACATGAAACATCTTCACCGACAGCTGTGGATTTTTATATGCTTTTAATTTTGGCGAGTAGCTACAGGAGACAGGCGACTAAAGTAACAAGATACAGGCTGCACACCTGATATGATTGGCTGAATGTTCACACGTGATATGAATGATGTATTGTTTATAGCTACTGACGCGGACGGCGTCTGCTGGCGTTTCTCGGTGCTGATCGACAGGCCGCCTACCGATTTCTCAATCCAGCACTACTTAATAAAAAACTAATAGAAGACACCCATATATATTTGGGGAAAATCCAAATACCCCCCTACAAGTCACTGCTCTTTCTACTCTCCCCCCTACAACTTAATATTGTTCAAAACACTACACATAAGTTAATTTCTCTTCCAATTTCCCACCCCTATTCGGTTTTCACGCTTTCTCGTGATGCGCTCAATTTCTCGTTATCATGGGCCTTCAGCGCAACCCATGGATGGAGTTGCCTCGTGCCACCTTGGCGGCAAAAGTGCGCGCATCTCCATCCGCTTTTAATTCTGCGAGCCATACGGGTAGGACGACATGACGCTAACATAAACACAGGAAAACAATTTTTAGTCCACCAGTGCAAAACAATAGTGTCTGCCTCATGATTTGTGATTCCACATCAATATGAAGAATGGCAACACCAAGTCAAAAACACATTCCAGAATATTTAAGACATGCTTATTGAAGTAGAATCCCCTTAAAAATCACAATTCAAATCTGATAGTTAGAAGTACAGAAAATTATTTGTCGTAAAAAAGCTGGTACTGAGATTAAGAAGGGACCAACATCCCCTACTAATTGTAGCTAAGAATTTTGATGTAAATAATACTACTGCATAAAAATAGGAGATCAGTTTCTCCTAATTTGCAACTTTCTTCCAGTAGGACCGATATAAGGCCCATGTGGCACATGATGGTAGAGACCAACACCAAATGCATTGTACATATATACTGGTGGCTATGTGGATGTTGTTGGAATATCATCTCTTGAACTAGAACTAATAGGCTGGGAATTGCTCCTCTTCTTCCTCCTAGTTATTTGTGTTTTACACTGAGAGAAACAGACAACAAATTGTGAGAAGTAGCAAAGTACAATGTCTTTATATGATAAATTAGTAGTGTACTCACATTTTGAGATGAAGAACTTTGGTTGTCTTTTCCATGCTTTCTGCTGTTATGACCAAACTCTTTGCAGACGCTACATCTAATTGTTGTCTTTGCAACCGACCTTCCTTGAACCCTAGGTTCATCAGATGCTCTAGTTCTCTTTGTTTTTGGCCTCCCTGGTTGTGTCCTAGCCACAGGTGGGTCTACATCTGGAAATGGAGTTTTTTCCCATTGTGTCTCATCAGGAACGGGATAAATCATCCCACAATATGTTCTCGCATATGCATCCTTTGTCAATATGTCATCAACATAGCTCTCTGGCCTTTGCATGAAACCTTGAATAGCTGAAACAGCATGCAAACATGGGATTCCAGTTAAATCCCATTTTCTACACCCACAAGTGTGCTTGTTCAAATCCACTACATATTGATTACCAAATGGGGACACTTGCCAAATGCCCCTACCAGCACACACAGATTTGCAATATCTTGCCTCGTTCTTCTCTGCCTCAAGCTTCTTTAATATATTTGGTGGGATTTGCCAATTGTCCCTTTCTGCACCTTCCCTCTTATTATTGAAATCACCCTTCATTTTTGTCCTTATGTGCTCAACCATGGTAATTATGGGTTCATCTCTAGCTCCCAGTATCTTTGAATTGTATGTTTCACTTATGTTGTTAAGAAGAAGATCTGTCTTTGCTCTAGAACTGAACATATATCTACACCAATGCTTAGTTGGAACCTTGCTTAGCCACTCCCATGCCCTCAAATTGTTAGCCTTTAGTTATTGCATAGCAGCATTGAACTCAGATTGTCTATATGCATATGCTGCTCGTTCCATCAAACCCTTCAGATATTCCCCTCTAAATCCTGCTTGGGAAAAATTGGCATGTATGGTGCCTAAGGCAGTAACGCTGCTCAGCTCCTAGGGAAAACTTCAGACACTGCCTTGATGTAGTCCCTATATATGGCAGCAAAATGTTAAAAAAACAGTTGACATGTATTAATGCAAAGTAGACATATATGATAGCTATTACCTTTTGTCTATCTGACATGAATACCCAAGCCCCCAAACTCTTCTCCTTTTCCAATGGCCTTCTCCAAACATAGTAAGAACCATGTCCAAGATTCTGTGCACTCAGACTCCACTACCGCAAAGGCAATAGGGAAAAGATTATTGTTGGCATCCCTACCTTGTGCTGCTAGTATTTGAGAACCATTGTTGAGTTTGATGTGACATCCATCTATACCGATGAAGGGTCTGCAACCACCTAAGAAGCCAGTAATTTGAGCATCAAATGACAAGAACAACCTTTGAAACCTAGGCCTTATTTCTGGCTCAGGTGATACTTCGCACTTAACAAAAACTTTGCTTCCCGGATTAGCAGATAGCACAGCATGAGCATAATCTTGAATTCTTTTAAACTGCAAATCATGATCTCCCATAACTTTCTTGTAGGCCTCCCTCCTTGCCCTATACGCCTTACTTATGCTGACTTCTACATTGGTATCTCGCCTGACACAATCTTGAAAGGCATGTGCATCCCATTTCTTGTCAGATCTAAAGAATTCCATGTATTCATTAGTAAGCCATCTCCAGTCAAGCTGTGCTATATTGTGTGATTTCCCACAGCTATGTTTTGAAACATACTTCTTTATTTTAAAGGTGTCTTCACCAGGCAATTTTGAAGCATATATGTACCAAGGACAGTTATCTGCCTTACACTTGACAGAAACTTGATTCCTATCATTCTTGCCCTTGAACACCTCCCTCCCCATGTTGATGATCATATTCTTCAAAGCAGCTCTAAAAAGATCAACATTACTGAACAACATGCCAACTTGCATGTGTGGACGCCGTAGGGTGGACTCATAAAAAATTATATCTTCAATTCCTCTTGATCTGTGCACATAGATAGGTGCTTCGTCATTGAAATCTATTGTGTCATCATTGGGCTCATCTGACAAATAATCCACCTCAGCTGATTGGCCTATATCCTTCTCTTTTCTCTTGTTAGTTTTTTTCCCTACTAGTTCTTTTTCCTGTGTAGTTTTTCCCCGATGTGGTTCTGCTTGGT